TAATTCAAATTTACATGTGTTTCTAATTGTCAAACTGTATTTCTAAAAATAGCTATTGCAGTAATTTTGTTGTCATCGTCTGTTTAATTTTTGGATTTCTTTATAGAGTTGAGAGTGATTGCTTTGTTTAATGCGTCTGTGTTGGAGGTTTCTAGTATTGTCCCGAAGGTTTGTCTTTTTTTTAGTAGTGTTGTCCATTCTAAATAAATATGTTGCTCTGTTTCTTGTACCTGTTGTTTACATATTTGACATGTTATTTTGATGTACGTGTTTGCTTTGATGTTTCTAGAGATATCTAATATAAAAGAAAACTTTGATTAGGTAAACAACATAGAAATTATATTGTTTAATTTTAAATTTCCCGTGACGAACGCTTACGTATCACCCTGGTGTGTGGGTGAAACCAGTTGCAAAATTATTATGAGAAAACTTTGATTAGGTACACAACATATCGACAGCATTGTTTAATTTCCGTGACATTTAATCAATAATCATGGGGGTTCGAGTGGTCGGGTTGGTAAAGCTCATGTTTACATAACCGATATGTCCCGAGTTGGAACCCATAAGTAGATGAGTCTCGATATCTGGGGACAGAAACCCATCTAGGAGAGTAAACTTCAACATGAAACATCTGCGGCTTTGTAGTTTGTTCTTGAATGGACACAGTTTCTGAGAAGAAATATAAAGGAAAGTTTTAGCGGCTGGACATAGTGCTGTAACCAACGATAGAGAAAGTAAAAGCCGCTATACATAGTTCTGTAACCAACGATAGAGAAAGTAAAAGACTATATACATAATGCTGTGCGGCATATACCGAAGACTCAGACTGGAACCATTGCCACAGAGCTGGCCACATCATAGTTGTGGGGCTGGGCTTAATGCCTAAGGCCCTAGGCTGTCAACTGTCCATATACACTCTACTCCACCTATTCTCATTGATTTTAATTTTGTTTAGTTTTTGTTTTTACAGTATAATTTTTTTTTTGAGTTTTTAAAATAAAAGAATATAATCATTATGAAACTAGAGAGCCGCATACTGATTTCAAAGGAACTGCATGCACACCCCACCCACTCCCCATGCGTGCGAGTTATTTTGTTAACACAAGAAATTAATACTAATAGTTTCGCTGTCTGTCTATCTATCTGACAAGAACGCTCTGTCTGACAAGAACGCTCTAGAGAAAACACAAGCAAAATAAAAACATGCACAGTAATTCGAAAAACGAAATATGACGTCGACACATTTAGCATAGACTAGAACATAATCTCAAACCAGAGAGTGCACACAGTAATATGACGTCATTGATTCTCGCGTAAACATTGAAAAAAAGGAAATTTTGTCTAATCTAAATGGTTTGCGTGAAGAGTTTCTTGCATATAATTCTTCGGGTAGGGGCGAAGCCCCACCCCCCACGTAAGAACGTCTGAGCCCCCGCCCCCCTCCCAACTCAAAAGAAATTTCTTCATCGATACTCTATAATAAAATTACCGCCTAATTAATGTGTCTAATCTAAAAAGTGGTTTTCTTGCAATTTCTTTAATGCAATTCTTCGGGTAGTGGCTAAGCGCGACACCAGTGTTTCTTTCAGACTTTTTCCTCCCCGGAGAGGGGTGGGGGTAATTGAAATTTTCGGGGGCGGGGGTAGAATTTTCGGGGAGGGGGGCGGACACTGGAAAAAGTATATAATTATATTTCGTTGAATGGGACGGTAGACATGTTTTTTTAGAGGGGGTGGGTGGGGGGGGGGGTGGTGTGTGTGGGGGGGGGGGGGGGGGTGGGGGTTGAGTGGGGGGTGGTTTTAATTTAGACTTTTTCCTCCCCGGAGAGGGGTGGGGGTACTTGAAATTTTCGGGGGCGGGTGTAGAATTTTCTGGGAGGGGGCGGACACTGGAAAAAGTATATAATTATATTTCGTTGAATGGGACGGTAGACATGTTTTTTTTGGGGGGGTGGGGTGGGGGTGGGGGGGTGGTGTGTGGGGGTGGGTTGGTTTTAGTTTAGAGAAAAGAGACAGCACTATCAGCCTAGCGCCCGTTGTACCCTTCCTCAACGGGCCATTTTTCTCGTGTATAAATATTTGGGGAACCGAAACAAAATTTTATGAAGTGAACGATTAAAAATAAGGAATTCATTTAATTAAAGCGAATTTATCTTTCATATAATTGTCGTTTCGTAATTTAATTAGGGATAATTTTTTTTATTAATATCAATAAATGTTTAAAGGGAGACAAAACTTCTGCATAACTGTTATTAATAGTTACAGAATAGAAAAAAAAATCAACAAGGATTTACATAATTATTATATCTCAACTGGGGTATTGGTTTATTTATTAATTTGATAACTTAGTTAAAGTTTTGTCCCTTATTTGTTTGAACTATAGTAGGGGAGGTAACAAAAACAAAACAATATAATACAGATCTATCAAGTTGCAGCATTGCTGTGTTGTATAGAAGATTTAAAAGTTATGTTTACGAGAAAAGGGCGGAGCATTGTAAGAAAGGTACATTTATTTTGCTATAATGAGGGAAGACCTACAACCTAAAATAAAGAAACTATATATTTGAAACTATGTGGGGCTTCCAACGTGTTAAAAAATAGTAATCATACTAATTAAATGTACAAAATGTAAACAATTTCTTAATCTTAATAATTATGCTGATGATATATCATGGTATGATCACAATATATTCAAGTGAATAAAACAACGCCGATAAACACAGACGATTAGTGTTTCATCTCTTACATTGTGCTGTAAAAATCCTAACTTATAATTAGGTCACTGCCTCTTTGCCTGTTCGTAAGCCTTGTCTTAACATTACAATTATCATATATATATATATATATATATATATATATATATATATATATATATATATATATATATATATATATATATATATATATATATATATATATATCATATAGTCCCGAGGATAAATAACACACTTATCTATACAGGCTCTACGCTAAGCTAAGTACGTAACATAAATCAAACACTAAGTCAAGGTAAACCAAACATGTCTCTAGTTTAACCGTTTAACCCTAACATAAAACGTAAAACACGAATCATGAAATTTAACCTTCTCACATACATATTAATACTGACCATTACTTTAACACCAAATTTAAATAACAAAACAACCAAGCGCTAGAACCAAAACCAACACTAAGCCTAGATTTAACTTAACTCTTAATTCTGTTCTGTGTTAAGTCTCTTAACATAAGACTGCCTTAGTCTGCCTCTAACACATTACCGTAAACATTAAATTATGTTTTTGTAGAAACCTATAATGAACTATGTAAGAAATAGATTTTTTTTTAAATTTAAAACAATCCAATTTAAAATCGGAATACCATAACATAATATTACTTGTCTTCCCCTTGTATTGTTTGTTTAAAATGCGATTGGCCGGGCTCAGAGACTGGGCCACACGTGTAGGTCAAGAGCAGGATCTGGTTGTCAGAAGCTTTCAGTGACGTGGGATGTTAGGGGCATTTAGTGGGAACTAATCCTCACTGTGAAGTGGGAGCGTTTCCCCGCCTTGAAGTGGAAACGTATCCCCTCAGTGAATTTAGAGCTTATTCTTATCGTGAAGTGAGAGCTTATTCTCACCGTGAAGTGAGAGGTTATTCTCATCGTGAAGAATTAGCTTATATTTACAGTGAAGTTGGTGATTATTTAAACCGTAAAATGGGAGCTTATACTCACCATAAAGTGGGATCTTATCTCCACCTTGGAGTGGGAGCTAATCTCCACTTCCAACCCGCGCTGTAACGATAATTAAATCTACAATTAAGTACTCGTTACCGATAATAACTCGTTAAAAGATGTTAACAATGCATAAAAATGCAGGCACGATTTATATGTCACTATTTGAATTTACTTAACAGTAGGTAGTTACGTTAATGGCAGCAAACTTTTAACTAGAGGCGTCGCGAGGCGGTGACGGGGGTTGCTGCTCGGGTGACAAAGATAAGGGGGGGGGGGGCAACACCAAGACACATAATTTCAAAATTTTATCAGATTAAAATTAATTATTTCCTGTTAAATTAATGGTTAACTACAGTAAAAAAAATCTTTTAAATACAAAATAACAATCCCCACTAGGGGAAGAGGGGATTATATCTGCTAAATATAGAAAAAGCAGGTTTATTAATAACCGACAATAGATACACATCGTCAATATTAACTGTGAACACTTTGAAGCTATCACCCAGGGTTGGGGGTGAAACCAAATGCTAAATTTAAAGAGAAAAAAAGTGTAGTTGAATGTTTTTAAATGTGTATATACGGGTGTATTTTTAGTTTTAGATCTCACGTTCAATATCTTCAGGAATGCCTTTAATTATTGTGTAAGTTCAATTATTGAGCAATAATAACATGTATGAATACATCGAGAGACTGATCCAGGAGCGATGAATGACAGATGACTTAGAGATCTGATGAATAGAAAATGTAAAGGTACGTAGAATAATCTCTAATGCGATTGGTCCCTGTTAAGAACCTGGATGTAGTTGCCTCTTAAACCAATGTTTCAGTTGTTTAAAATTAACTTGAAACGCAGTGTGTTGTTTTTTTCCGCGGTCCAACATGTGGACGGCCAGAATGACCTCCGACCCCCCACTCGTCCACAAAAGCCTACTTTATTCACCCCCCCCCCATCTCCTCCTCCTTGTGGACGTCATACACGGTTGACCCCAACGGTCTATCAAATATAATGCAGGGCTGGTGACGGTGGGGGAATAGAAGGAAGGCGTTTGGATGGAGTACTACAAGAAATTTATTCGGCTGCCCGTTACAGATTTTGGAAGGAATCAGAAAACAGAAAAATATATATCAGAAGAAATAAGTAGTTGAAATCAATTTGAGATTTTTTTTTTTTTTTTTTTTTGCATGAAAAATATTGTTTTTATTTAATACAAAATTCACAGCAACGAAAAGCTAAATAATTAGGTAAAGAATAGTGGTGGTCCTCATTAAATGGGTAGCCAAAGTAATTATTACAAAAGCGATACTTCAATACCAGATGTTGATTAGGACATGATGAATGTAAAACAATGTATTGTATGAATGTGATGCTAATGACATAATAAGGCAAAACGTATTAGGCACTGTGACAACTCAACCAATTATTGTATACAAGGTTTTATTTTTAAAATGCATTAGCAACAAAGGCAAGTATATACAAATGTGAGTCATGTTCTTTACATTAGTTTCCATTTATGTGATCTGATATTGCATTCTGTTCACTTTGCCTTGCTCTTCAAACTCCTTGATATTTTTGTCAAAAATTTTCTCGGTCTTTATCATCAATATTTCCATGGCTAATTTTACAAATTCAGTGGTAGTAAGATTTTCAACTGGCTTCTTCAGAGTAAAAAAGGGACATTTGGGTGAATGCTTTGTGTGTTCTTTGACTGGATCATCATCTGGCTCCCACCCATCTAATTCTTTCAGGCAGAATATGCAGCACACATTGTCAGGACAATCAGAACATCGGCTGAAGTAAAATCCAGCTTGTGCAAGCTTTTCTGGAGTACAGTGCCAAGAACTATCATTTGGCCATCCTTTAAACGTCTTAAGCCTCTCCTTCTCAATAAACATAAGCATTGTTCTGTCATCTAAAAGTAAATTTTCGGTCATAAAATAAATTATCATCACACAACAAACCCATACAAACATTGTTGAATCAAGTTTTTTTCTATATAAAAAGAAAAATATCTTCATTTTTCTAAGGCTACCATAAACAAATGTTTTGAAATTTTAAACATTTACAAATTCAAAATAATTTATTTTGACAAATACATAAATTGCAATTTATTAACTTAATAGGAAATAATTAATTGTTTATTACTTTTAGAACCATTTAATCTACTGCTGTTTTGTAATTTTTAATATGAAGTTTTAAGTTGTTTCCCTTGACTGCCAAATCACATAATCTGAAAGGATATACATTTCTAAATTTTCTATTTTCAACAATGCAATACATTCTAAAACTTTTAAAACGCCTTTTAAAGTCTACACGATTGCCTTAAAGTAGAGTTTCACTTTAAATTGGATGTTTATAAGCAATAAACATTTTAGAAATATTTCTAAATATTAGTAATGGAAGACACATTATACACTAATCATAGTTTTAAACATTGTTACTCTCATAACATATTTTTAAAAATGAATTCACAAAGCAATTAGCGAATCTGATTGATCAATTAAAATCAGAAATCGCCCACGTCTAAACTTATAAACTATAGGTATATTTCACAAAAGGTCCCACATCAACGTTATCGATAACCAACAGCTCCAGCGCTGAGTACCCACAGAAGTGAAACCAACAACCGATTGAAGTAACACTGAGTACCCACAGCTTCAGCACTCAGTACACATGGCTTCAACACTCAGTACCCCCTGTTTCAGCACTGAGTACCCATACCAGTGGCAATATGTAGCTACAGCACTGTCATTGGTAATCAATAGCAGAATTAGTCGAGCACAATATATGTTGCCCGAATCGGAAACATAGGGTAGCATCAACAATAGCACTGAGTACCCACAGCAGCTGCATGAATATAAAATGACTGAACACTGTCTTTTAGGACAGTATTTGTTCACGTGCTTTGTGTGTATAGCAAATATAGCTCAAATGAGAAATATGCGTCTTTATTAGTTGACCTTGAAAATGACGTAACAGGGGACAACTAAGGCTCTACACATTGAAGGAAGTCCTTTCATATGTAGTGTGTAATTGTAGTGTAGTAGAACATCGACAGCAAGGCTTCAACATACCCATGCATAATAGTTAGTCAGTTAGCAGGTGCAGCAGAGTTATGTAAGTCTATGCCTGAGCTAATAACGTATAGTTTTAATTAATTTTGCAAGTGATTATACATCTCCTTGCATGTCCGTATGTTCAGTTTGTGATATTTTATTGTTTGTGCGTGGATATTTAGAGAAACACATGACACTAAAAATAGTAAAATGACCAGGACTAAACAATTAAAAAAAAAAATACTGTTTGGTCCATAAATGCCCGATGTCGCGTGTTCGCGACATACCGTAATTAGCATAAAAATAAGTCCACATTTAAAAACAACTATACACCTTAAATTCAGTGTCAGTATGATGAGAGAAAATCAGCACAAATATGTTTTTACACGCTTAGAACATAATTCAGGCATTAAAGGGTTAATAAAACAAAATCACATTTGGTTTGAAAAGTACTAGCTGGCAAGTACAAGAACGAGACGTAAATGACCTACATACTAGCCCTATGGCCGTGTACATTTAAATAACAAAATGTGTTTTACTTAGGGGTCGTCCATAAATGACGTCACACTCGTAGGGGAGAGGGGAGTGTCTGTAATTTTGTGACGGTGTGTGATGAGGGGGCGGGGGGGGGATTCAAATGGTGCGACAATTTTGCATTATAAAAAAGCATTGTTAGAAAACGAATTTTAGACGTTATTTCGCGTTTTAGAAAACTGTTGTAATAAATTGTAATAGGAATTGATTAAAATACAGAGTTGACAGAGTTCAGACAAGAATATAGAAAAATATCGATGGTTTAAAAAAATACAATAGCAATTTTAGGGCGTTGTAAGCTGAGGTCTTTTTAGGGGAGGGGTCTGGCCTTTTCTTGATGACGTGTGACGGAGAGGAGGGGGGAGGTAAAAATCGTCCCCCAACCCCTACCCTACACCCCCCACCTCCGTGAAAGCAACCTCCTCTTAGTTACCTCCCCTACGTTTAATATAGTTTCAAACTAAATTATCTGTCCCTAATAGGCGTCACTAAACCCGGCTGTACGATTGTAAATATTTAGCGTGAACCACAGCTCACCAGACCATGTGGGGGTGGGGGAGGTTGCGATATGCCTAGAGAGGAAGAGAGGGGACTGCTAGGCGCGCTTACAGCTTGTTTTCTAACGGCTCCAAGAAGAGAATTATATATATACGAGCCGGCCCGCGGCATAACATACGCCGCTATTTAGTTGTTTCTAATTTTCAATAGTTCATAATTTGTGAATTCGACAGTACCAACGCTGTTCCAATATAAAACGGAGACACTCCTGTTCCAATATTAAAGGTGACACCCCTGTTCCAATATAAAACGGTGACACCTCTGTTCCAATATTAAAGGTGACACTCCTGTTCCAATATAAAACGGAGACACCCTTGTTCCAATGTAAAACGGTGACACCCTTGTTTCTTTAAAACACTATAAGTAGCTCGTTAAGGACCATAACCCCCCCCCCCTTCCTTCCCTCCCCCCCTCCTCCCCCCCCTACGTTTAAAATCGTTGGCTCTGCTTATAAACATTTAGAGTGAACACAGCTCACTAAAACCATGTAGGGGTGGGGAGGTAGGGAGAGCGTTTGCAGCTTGTTTTCTAACGGCTCGAAGAAGAGAATTATATATATAGATAGATGTTAATTAAGTTGTTTGCATCTGTGCACTAATAAAACATATGCAGACATCAAGAAACTGATCCATTAGACAGAAACGAACAACTACTTTAAGATCTCATGCAGATATCAAATAGAAAATTGTTGAGATCCTACTTAGTATCGTAAAAACAAAACAACTCAGGTAGTACGGACATATACCACGAGCTGTCTATCAAAAACCTTCATGCGGGGCTCGTAACAGGAGTGAGGATGTGGGGAAATTCACGAATTTTGATGGAGGACTTCAAGGAATGGACGTGACTAACCCTTGCATTATGTTTTAAATGTATGAAAAAGCATTATTTAATGTTCCCATGACAACCATTAACGTAGCTAATAAAGTCATCGGTTTCGGTTTTAAACTAAAAGTAAGCGTTTATGTAGAAATAAATAAAAAATAAAAACTTTGAAAGTGTTAATGACTTATAATATTAATTATTACACTAACTGTTGTTAGGATGTTTGTTTATATAATCGAAAAAATCTATTTTTATTTACATAAATTTTAAGAACTTAAATTTGTGAACCCCTGGTAATTTTAAATTTACAAATTGAAGCAACGACTAAATGTATTACTATTAAAAGTAGACAATATATTTATTTTATTTTAAATTTTGTCGTGTAATTGCCCTGGGCGGAACTACAATGCCGCCAAACCCCGCAATGCGATTGGTCCCTGTTTTGATCCTCCAAAGTATCGTAAAAACAAAACAGCTCAGGCAGTTTGGACATGTACCACAAGCTAGCCGTCTATTAAAAACAGGGCGGAGGATGCGATGAAGACATTGACGAATTTGGATGGAGGACTTCAAGTAAAAATAAATAAATAAATAAATACAAATGAGAAATCAATTTTTTCCCGCCTCAGACAAGTAATTTACAGCGTCAGTTTTTTCTCGTCATGTTCGCTTTAGTATTACAGTTTTTATCATCGGCTTGTGCGGACTCATACAGATTTGCAAATAGTAATATTTCTTTCTTAATTGTAGCCTATTTTTACTCATTTAAGATGATTTACTTATACAAAGATATATAATTTCTAATTTAATTACAATTTTAAAAAAAACAACTGACAATGCATATGTGTAATTAACAGATAATTTAAGGGTATGTAGAAAGCAATGTGAGAAAAATTTGCTAACAATGCAACAACAGACAATCATTATTTAATATATTTTCCTTTTATAAATGCGTACGTAGCTAATAAAGTCATTGGTTTTACAATTTAACTAAAAGTAAAAGTTTATACTTTATTTATTGAAAAATTTAAATTCTAGAAGTATTTCATAAAAAATGGCATTTTCTAAATTAAAAAATATAAACATTGACAATTATTTGGAAAAACGTTTGTTTAACAAACAAAACTGTCGGTATTTACAATACTATTAAGAACTTAGTTGTGTGACCTCCCCTGGTAATTCAAAATTTACAAATGGAAGCAACTAATACACGTTTTAAAAGTTGAACTTGTAAAACATCTCATAAGAGACCAAAGCTTTTATGAAATAAAAATAACACAAATTAGTTTTATTTAAGGCTTTATCTATTTCAGTGCTTTTAAAAGCTTGTCGGTATAAAGGCTTTTTTATTGTTTTATTAAAGTATTTTAATAACATTTTTTGTTTGTTGTTTGTGTTTATTGAAAGAAAAAGCTGTTAACATTAGATCAGTGGCGTAGCGAGGTCGGGTGTCACCCGGTGCGGCACTTAATGGTGTCACACCCCCCCCCCCAGAGGCATAGAGTCCCTTCCCAGGGACAAACTTTCAAATTTTCGATTTGCACCCCCCGCCCTCAAACTTTCGATTTGCACCCCCCCCCCTCGAGTTGCTCTCTATATATTTTGCTATTTTTTGCCTTGGTGTCACCCCCCTAAATGGTGTCACCCGGTGCGGTCCGCATCCCCCGCCCCCCCCCCCCCCCTCGCTACGCCCCTGCATTAGATTTTTACCGAGTGTGATGTTAGACACTGGTACACACCGATGATCGACTCCCCACAACTGACCGACATAAATATATGATTGCTTCCCTATATTCTAAATTATCCCTCCGCCCTCCCTGTTTTTTTTTTAAAAATAACTTTAAAGACGACAGACCTCTACAGATCTAGTAGTTTATGAATAAGGAGAAGAGAACACATATAACACGCTGGTTTCGTTGTTTTTTTAA